TGGTCCAAGCATCCAGGATTATCTGAGCAGACCTCGACCAACATGGTGAGTTACAGACGGACCCTCCCAGTCGCAAACATTTGCTCTTTGGTAACAAAAGATAAAATATGACATCTTTCTTGCATCTTCTGAAGCCTTGCATGGAAATGATCATATATACACTTCTGATGATTGGAATGTCCTTTGTGAAAATATCTGCAGTTTTAGCCACAAGGGGGCACATTTCAATGCATTATTTGACAGTGTGAAAATGCCAGTGTTTTCAATTCTCTGTCAAACAGTCAAAGGGAAAAATCACAAGAATCAACTCGGATCTCTTGAAAAAGGAATTACATTTTATTTATTAAGTCGTATCCATTTTGAACATTACTTGAGAAAGAACAGTGAAATGTTGACATGAAAAACTTGTATTCTGTCTGATGCAAATTTAGGGAAGAGTTAAAGGAGCAGTTAGAAAAGAAGAAGAAGGGCTCTCGAGCCCTGGCTGACTTTGAGGATAAAATGAATGAGGTATGTTTTTAATCACTTGACATATTGACTATTAATAATCACTATAGTTCATTTTGGAAGAATATATATTGATTAAAATGTTTGACTGTTTTCCTTATCTAGAAATGGAGGAAGGAACTCGCAAAAAATCGAGAGAAGTTGTTGGGTGGTAGTGACAAGGATAAAGAGAAAGAGAAAAAGATGATGGACAAGGAAAAGGAGGAGAAGAAAGAGAAAAAAGAGGTATGGTGTAATTTTATTTGCCTTGACATTTGAATGATTTCACTCTCAAAACTTGTCTTTACATACTTTGTCTTTTCATTTGTGTTTAGAAAAGGAAGAAAGAGAAGAAGAAATCCAACAGGGTGAGGAGAGACCTCCACTATATTTAAAGCCAACTCTGCCATATTACACACACACACACACACACATACACACATATTGTTGCATTTGAAATGGTCCTCAGTTGAATCCTGAAAATGTAATGTTCCAATTTCAAAGAAGCAAATAACCTCAAGTCTAATGAACCCTGCTTTCATTGTGTTTTGGTCAAGCATTCTTCATCTTCCTCTTCTTCATCGAGTTCTGATTCCTCCAGCAGTTCTGTTTCCGAATCTGAAGATGAGGTAAGTTGTATCAAACTTGGGGATATCCTGATCAAGTTTTTATGTCCTTGCAAGAGCAATGGCCAGAAGCATCATGTTTTTGTATTTACCAATGTCCATCTGTCCTGTGTCATGAACGTGATATCTCAGCAACACCTCCAAGGAATTTCTATACTTAATGGGCTCAGAAAGAGTCATTATTTGGATTTTGTGATTTAGAGACATCATTCTTGTGAACAAAGACAAAAAAATTTAAATTTAATACCCAAAGTTGATGGCACAATATTGACGGATCAAATAATCTCTTGACTGCTCAGTTGATAATGTAGTTAATGTAAAGAATAGGGGTTTGAAAAGAAGAGCAGTGGTGTGAGCAAATGGGTTGATGTTTAAAAATGTTTTGAATACAAACTGATCAGTTTTAAAAAGGCTGATCTCCTCTCTGAGCAGTCTCAACATCACAAGTTTCTCTTCCACCAATAGCATTCTGTTTTTGTTAACAGGACGAAAAGAAGAGTGTGAAGAAAAAACGGAAGCGAAAGAAGTCGGCAGCCAGGAGAGCGTCGGACAGCTCAGAGGAAGAGTCAGATGCTGAATGCAAGGTTTCTTTTTCTTATAGCTTCCCTTGTTTTTGAAATGCAGGATGTTCTGGTAGTAAAACAATGCATTTGAATTGCAAAACCAGCATTAAAGGTCCAGTGTGTAAGATTTAGGCGAAAGGAATTTTTGGCAGAAATTGAATATATGTGTGTTTCATCTAAATTGTATGAATCATTGTTTTCTCTTCCTTAGAATGGGCCCTTTATATCTAAGAACTTTATATTTACATGGGGGGGGGGTCCCTCTCTGTGGAGGTCCAAACTGGACAAACTCAAACCTTTTGAGTTTTCATGACAACTGAAGTTCACCACAGGTTCTCTTTCATGTTTGGAAGAGGAGGGTGAGATGAGGAGTATTCAGCTGCAACATGAAACTTCACCTCTAGATATCACTAAACTCCACACACTGAACCTTTAAGTAAAGTCCCATTTATTTGGATCAAATACTGTTATTTTTAAATGTGCTTTGCCACGTGCTTTAAAGTTATAGCAAATGATTGAGCAACAGAGATACTGATACAAAAAAGAAATAAGGATGATTTAAATGTTTTTCTCCAAGATGAAAAAGAAAAGAATCAAGGAAGAAGGGGACAAAGACAAGGTAATTTAGACTTGTATAGTCCCTAACCTTTTGATTGAAATAATTCTGCTGACCACTTGTTTATTTCTACAGATACATTTTTCTTTGGAATTTAAAGTTGTTGCATTTCTTATGTTAATCAGGATGACAAGAGCCGCAGACGAAGAAGGAAGGTAGAGCGAAGTTATAAAGACTCGTCTTCAGAGTCCTCTGTGGAGTCTGAGGGGGAAGAGGCAGTAAGTATTATTATGATATAAAGTTTATTATATACACACACACACACACAAGTGAAAGTGAATAACGATCATCGGTCATTGTGCCATCGTCTACTTTGTTCCTGTTTTTTATCTTGTAAGTCAAATGTTACAGGAACGAATTTCCCCATATTACCACAGAAAGAATAGATTTTAGTCTACGAGACACTTGATATTTTAATCGATTGGGTCTTGAATAAAAAACAAATATTATCATAGACCATCTAAGACTGATATGAAACTGTGACCGCAGATTTACCTCAGGTTGCCCTTTTTTATTCCTCCCTACACTCTTACCAAGAGGAAAAGTTACCACGATATTAACCGTGAAGATGAGATGCTGACTAGTCTTGCTCAACAATTGAGAAGAAATCATACCTTTTTAATTTGGTCAGTTTTAGAAGTCTGTTGTAAACCTACCAACTTTTGTTGATGCAGGTACTTGTAGAAATACCAATATTGAGAAATGCTATTGCATGAAATGGGCTGTTTTGAATTTGGTTTGGTTAAAAGAGTTTCTTCTTTCCATGGTCTCATTTCAACATTTCCCACCAACAGGCTGAAGCCAAGAAGAAAAAGAGAAGTAGCGAGGAAAGAGAAAAAATCACAGTGAGCATTTTTATTTTATTTTCACACTAGTGTACAAACAAGATTTAAGCTTGATCAAGTACAATTAGGATGCTGATTTTATTGGATGACTGTAGCAATGATTAATAGCTGGGATGGAAGAATTTCAATTATTAACAGTTAATTGCATTAAAATGTCACAATAGAGCTGTTGAGGAGAAAGCATTGAGCCTTTGTAGGCGTTTTCAGACTCAAACTCCAGAAAATGTCCGCACAACGAGGTCTGGACTTCCTCCGGAGTGTTGTTGATCCAGCTGTGAAGTAGATGCTATATGCAAAAGAAAACAGCTTGTGCTTAATTGTTTTGTGTTTTCAGGACAAATCCAAGAAGAAGAGGAAAAAAAAGCACAAGAAACATGGCAGAAAAAAGAAAAAGAAGGCAGCATCTCAGTCGGACTCAGAGCTCGACTAAGAACTGTGGCTTTACCGTTGTCACGGTCTCCCGGCTGGTCACCAGTAGTGTTATTTATGCCTTCGACCACCGAAAACTCCCCTCCTGCCTCGGTCATCCAACTGATCGAGGAGACGTACAGACATGGAATGCTGGGGTGAAGACGAGGGTGACCCACCGGTCCCTCAAATTGGCAACTACCAGTACATATCTTTTGTTTTCTTTTATCGCCATGCTTCTCATAGATGGTTGTTCTTTGAGTTACAGTCAACGACAGAACTGAAGTGAATTCCACATCTTTCCAGTCCCTCATTCTGGAGATCTCTGGCTGGCACTGGCCTTCGCCGACAGTGCGCTGGCCCCTGTAAGGAGTTCACACCCTCTGCGTCACACCTGAGATCTGACATTTCTTGTTGCTAGATGAGTTTGATACGCTTGTGCCTGTGTTATGCATGCAGAACTGATCACCTGTTGTCTCTCGCCAGCCTCATATTGAAGTTGGACCTGTGATAAGAAATGTGAGCTGCACAGTCACAATATTTATACAAGGGATGATTGTTCCATTAGATGGGTTGTTGCACTACTATGGAAATGCATAAACTGGGAACTAATAAAGTGTTGTTTTAGCCTTTGTTTCTGTTGCTTCTACTACTACATCTTGTTTTGAACTTTATTAAAAGTGAGGTCACTGTACAATCAACCAACCACAGATCAAAGCAATAATTTGCTAAATAGCTATAGCTTTATGACTAGATGAGGCTCAAAGACCCAGTTTTGGTTTAATATCAACAAGCACTAGAGCTTGTTGATATTGTATTTTATCTTGTCTCAGTACACTTCCTCTTCATTTGTTACAGCTTAAGGATTTCTTTTGTCTATTCAATGGAGGGAAACAGTTCTCTCTTTAAATTAAATGCACGATACAACATGCGTTAATGCTCTTTTGCAAGTAAAAATTGTAAATTATGAAAATACACTTTAATTATTGAAAAGCAAAGGCACTTTTTATGTAGAATTGCCCTTTTCAGATATAATACAGGATAGATAATAGTAATAAAACACACACACACTTTGATTTCATTGTCACAAAGTACTTTATAAGAACAAAAATTGAGGATGAAACAATTGAACAAACAAGAGCCACTGTCAAATAATTTGTTAAAGCTTTAGAAAAAGAAATTTAAAGCACTCCCCCAAAGCTCTGGAGGGAGTCCTGAAGAATTGAGGCTGTCTGAGACGGTGTCTCAGCTAAAATCGTACTTTCTTTGGAAGAGAAGACACATTCCTGAAATAGCTTGGGGTGCTAGGCTAGGGTATTATTTTTATTATTTCCATATTATATATCTTTCTTCTGCACGTTGCAGCCTAACAATGATTACTCAAATCTTCCTGTAAAAGTCAAGGTGTGGTCGAACTGAAACCCGTGACTGTCCTCATCTCTTGACAGTCACAGGATATATGCAACATGGTAACCTCGACTTCAGCCTCCAGATTTTATTGGGTGGGAGGGACCAACCTTCCATATAAAGACTGATATGTCTGTTGTTCAGTTGGAGAGAGTGCCAGACATAGTACAGGAAGGAGTCGAATCACTTCACTCGCTGAAGGTAGGTGATTTAAACAGAAAGCACTGAATCTACATTCAGGTATTTATTTCTATAACCAGAGTAAAGTTGCGGTGTAGATTTTTTTCATAAACTCTCAGACCTGCCGCTTCTTAGTGTTCAATGAAGCAGCTCTGGACAACAGGAAGCTTTTACTTCTGGCTGAAACTGAAAGTGAAGTACAAGCTAAGAAAGTTGTGGGTACTGATTTACAGTGAAGCCACATTATCTGAATCAAATCTAGAGAGAGAAATACTTTATTCATCCTAAGGGAAACTCAGGCTGGTGATTTTTATCCTCAAACTGCACATTAGGTTTTGGATCAACTCAATCAAATAGACTTTCTGTTTCTCTTCTCTTCTGCAGATGCTGAGGATCAGTGTGTGGCTGTTGATCGGGGTGTTTGTGTGGGACTTTGCATCCTGCTCCGTCAACTGCCCTGATGGGACAGTCTGCTCCGATCATGCCACCTGCTGTATGACTAAATATGGCTTTACCTGCTGTCAGTATCCAAATGTAAGTCTGATTAATCTACATGCTAAGTAACTGCCAACTAGATTCTCTTTTGTGACGTAATATGACACAATCCTGTTTGTCAAAGCTTCACTGAGTTCACATCTGCTTGCTCGAAGTTTTTAAAAAGTGTACCTGCAAGTTGCTCTTTAAATTGTAGTTTGGATCTGCACCAAATTGGACCCAAGGATATTAGTCCCCTAAACATCCCACTTTTTTTTCATTCTGTGAGAAATCAAGAAAAGATGACAAATGTAATATCTCGCAATGTTAGAGAAAGTTTTAAAAAAGGTTTTCTGAATCTGAACCAAGAGTCAATGGGTAACTTCCCCAGCCCACTCTGCATCCTTAATAACACAACAATAACATAACCTTGGCTCTAATTCTTACTAATTCTCTACTTGTCTGTTCTCACATGTGTCTCCAGGCCGTGTGCTGCTCAGACCAGGCTCACTGCTGTCCCTTTGGCTTTCATTGTAACCTGGCCACCCAGATGTGTGAGAAACAGGGCCAGCTGTGGATGCAGATACCTATGGTGAAGAAGGAGGCTGCAGAGGAGCAGGCCCCTCCTGTTCTACCTATGTCTTCCCTGCAGGAGCCCAGAAACGACCAAGTCCCAGAGGCATCAAAGAGCTCAGTCGTCCACTGTGACAGCTACTATATTTGCCCTGATAGCACTACCTGCTGCAGACACCCAGCAGGCGCCTGGTTCTGTTGCCCTTACTCTCCTGTGAGTTGATTTATTCGCTGATGTGCAATAAGACACATGACTGTGAGTGACTTTGAATTCCTTTTATAAACTACACTGACGCAACATTAACTTGCAACTCATCTTTTTGAGTAATTCTCCAAACAGACGTCTCTATGGAGTAATGGTTGCATTCATCGTTGTATATAATGTGTGGCTTACAGGGCCGCTGCTGTCTTGATGGCTACCACTGTTGCCCGTATGGCTACGACTGTGACTACTCTTACACCCACTGTGTGAGGAGGGGCCTGAGATATCCTTTCACCCCCAGACAAGCTCTGTCATCAGTCCCTGCCACTCTCATTTCACCTCCAGACGAGGAGGTCAGCTTTCAGGAGGTGGGACACAACACACTTCTTGTCACGTTCTCTGTATGCAGCCTATCCTGGGATTGATTTTCTCATTCATCATCCACTGGGAGAAAAATTGTAAAAGTTTCAGCTTCTGAACACAAGCATTGGCAACAAACATGAACCCTCAGTTGTCTCACAACTTTTTCAGATTTTGAAAATCCATTGTGAAGTTGTTAATATTTAATGTTATAGAGAAATATCTTTTCACTGTCTAACATATGAATGAATAATAGAGTCGATAATAGAGTATAATAGTCTGTTTGTATTTATATTTATATTTCAGACTCCTATGACAGCTCTGACAGAGGCCAGTGACAGTTCCCCCGAGGCTGGAGTCATTCGCTGTGATTCCAAGTTTTACTGCCCAAATGGGATGACTTGCTGCAAAGGATCCATATACAAGTGGACTTGCTGCCCCCACCCACTGGTATGGATTTTGCATTTTTCTGCAAACATTATTCTTTTCATCACATCTTAAAAGAGACAGCCACATAGAATAATAAAGTAAGCATTTCGGTAAGAACCCAGGGGAAATGCGAATACATAATTATACCCACCACACTATAAAAGTTAGAACTACCTCCTGTTTATCACTGTTTAATGCATTCATTTACTTGTCTATTTTGTTTTGTAACATCATTGTGTTGATTTCAGGGCCAGTGTTGCGCAGATGGTTTGCACTGCTGTCCATATGGATATACCTGCGACGCCTCCTTGACATGCAGGGCATTTTACTCTGTGCTCCCCTCAGGATCACACGAACATCTGAAAACAGAGTGAGGACATGCTGTTGCAGTGCCCTATGGCAGCTTTTTCATTGTTTCTCTACATTATTTTGATGCATAGTTAAGATTTAATTGATGATGGCTTCTTGCCCCCCATAAAGACAATAAAAGGTTCAGTCTGTAGAATTTCATGAAGTTGCATATTGCAGCTGAGTACCCCTCACCTCATCTTCCCTTCCAAACATGAGAACCTGTGGTACTTCATAAAAACTCAGAAGGTGTTTAGTTTGTCTAGTTGGGACTACTGTAAAAAACATGGTGGCCTCTGTAGACAGGACCAGCTCCAGAGTAAATATTTTAATATAAAGGGTCTATTCGATGGTAAAGAAACCTTTTCGTACAATTTAGATGATTTACACTGTAGTAAAATACATCACAAGGATTATGTTATATTCACTTTCTGCCAATAGATCCCTTTTAACTAAATCTTGCACATTGGACCTTTAACAGAAACAGAATTAGAATTACCATGAGGAGAGGAAGTTTGGAATAAGTTTAGAATTACTCTCACTAACAGATCAATAGTCTGCATATAACATTGTTCTTATTTCACTCATTGTCTGTTCTGTTTTGGTATTGCATGTTTGGTTTGAGTTATAAATCAGCATTACATTTTTGGTCATATCTCTGTATTTTTTGCAACTGATTACGTTCAACAACTTTTGCATTAATAAATCAGATCAAAAAATCAAGTTTAATAGTAAATCTTTTTTTTTTAATATACGGCCAACTAATGGTGAATTGAACGACTTAAATAATGTCATGGTCATAAATTACAAAGCAAAATGAATAAATAAATATGTGAGTGAAATGTTTTTCATCTGCTCTTTTATAAACTTGTACGTTGAAAGCACCGAACGGAAATTGTTCACTCTGACTGCGTCACTTCCGCCGACGCCACATGTGTATGGTTCCTGGGGGTAGCGGAGTCCCAGACGCAGACTAACGCTGGAAACATGAGTCAGGTGGAAGAATTAAAGGTGTTTGTCTCCGAGCGACTGCAGGCGGCTGTCTCTGACGTCTTAGGCGCCTTTGAGAAAACGTTAGCGGGGTACGAGGAGCAGACTTCCCGCTTGAAGGACGAAAACAACCGCTACCGCTCCCTGCTGGATGTCGTGCTCCTGTCCAAGTTACCGCAAACAAAGGGTCGGTTCATCACAACTACACGCACACGCTGTTCAGCACATGCACGTGTAAACCTCCAGACAACACTGAAGATGCTAACTAATATATAAATAGATTTTTTTTCTGCAGCTTGGTTTGGCTCCTCCGTTTGCTAGCTTGTTTAGCTGAAATAGTTGAAATGCTGTTAGCTTTGAAGAAAACAATGTCAACTCACCAAAGTAAAGTTTCGGGCTGATGACGAAAGCAGTTACATTAGTGTCAGGTGTGTGTTAGTTCATTTACTAAAAACATGGCGGCCTCCGTAGAGAGGAGCTGCTCCCTGTGTGAATATAAAGTATTTAGATATAAAGGGCTCGTTCTAGGGTAAAGAAAACAACAAGTTGGGCAATTTAGGTGATGATACACTAGTGAAAACATTCATAGGATTGTTTTATATTCAGTGTCTGCCAAAAGATCCCCTTCACCCAACTCTTACGCACCGAACCTTTAAAAACAATGGGATAATGTATGTTTGGTATTCACAACGCCCCTATTGAGCAGAAATGTATGTGAAATAAAATGCTCTATTATCATTAGTAGTAGTATCATAAACAGTGTATCTTCTGTTGTTAGTTAAGTTTCAACCATGGCAGCTGCTTTTTAAGTATGACAGTAAAATAAGTGAATATCTGAAGTCAGCAGTGGATGTACAATATGGTGATGGAATTGGAAATTGTCACTGAAACAACAGTAGCATACCAGTGACCGATTATAGCACTTTTAATTCACTGCTTCATAGTCACACTGCTTTGTGCTCAAGCACATGTAAAAGCAAGACATTGTACAAAATAAATAATACACACATCAACAGCACGACACTGGAAATGAAAGCATATTAAAGTTACTCATCATATTTGACCTTATTGTCTCATAACATCTCTCTCATTTCACCTCGGCACCACTTTGATATTATGTAAAAAGTACTAGTGAAGAGAAATTGTGAGCTTGTTACCTGTGATGTGTTAAAGCTGAAGCAGTGAGCAATTTTCAGGAGAGCCAGTGGCAGAAATGCCTTAACAAATCTCCAACATATTTCATGCCGCTTATTCAGTTGGCCCTGTCAATCTATAAATTGAGCATGTGTTGATAAAAAGATGACATGTGGAGATTAGAGTAAGATGTCTCAGCTTTCAGTAGATCTTTTCAAAGCTTTGTCAGTAACACCTCAAAAATCTCAGCAAATTGTGTTATACCACACATTTTTACTATCACACATGTTTTGAATGCATGGTTACTCCATGTTAGAAAGGACAATGGTTGCTATGTTCAAAGCAGTGACTCAACTCTGGCAGCTGCTTACTGGCATGTCCCCCACAACGGAGGAATGGCAGCTGCCAACGGCAGTCAGTAGCCAGCTGACAAGACCACAGCTCACCAATGTCAGCACCAGCATCAATTTTGCTTGAGCTGTTAATGTTCCTGTGTTCTATGATGCCACAAGCAGCTCAAGGGGAAAAATCATTTTTAACAATGCCATTTTCTGTCATAAGTAAGGAGCAATCATTTTATTATAGTGTGATCTTATGTTCTGTCATTTTCTCCACAGTAGGCCACGCTAACAAAAGTACACCTGCTGCTGCTGCTGCCAGCCCGGTAGCCTCAAACTCAACGGCTGAAAGAACTTCCTCTTCTTATGGTAAGACTGCTTTTCTTAAGACTGTTGTCGTCAGTAAAATCAATGCACTCCGCTTCTTTGTAAAGCTCATCAAAATATTATTCATTGGTCAAAAAAGTGTTGAACATAATGATAGTGATAGCTTATGTTCCTTGGTTTTCTGCGATGCCACTGACGTCCTCAAGAGGAAAAATGGCAATAATTTTGAACAATGTAATTTTCTGCCACAAGAAAATGGCAGTGAGTTTTGGTATATTGTGATTTTATGATCTGTTTTTTTCTTCTTCTCCACAGCAGGTCACGCCATCAAAAGTATCCCTTCTGCTGCTGCCAGTCCAGTAGCCTCAGACTCAAGTTCTGCACAAATGGTCAAAAGAACTTTCATTGCTCATGGTAAGACTGCTTTTTTTTTAACCATGACTTTTTCTGCCAAAAGAAAGTAGAAATTATTTCAGTATAGTGTTATTTTATGTTCTGTTCTTTTCTCTCCAGCAGGTCATGTCAACAAAAGTACCCTTACTGCTTCTGCCAGCCTGGTAGCCTCAGATTCAAGTTCTGCACAAACGGCCGAAAGACCTTCCTGTTATTCTGGTGGTAAGACTGCATTTAACAATAGGTACTCCTCTTCAGTAAAATCAATGCATTCAGTTCTTTGTACAAACTGGAGTAGGGACATAAGACCCCACCTGTTTCTGTAAGCATATCTGACCTTGAGCATAAATGAACTGTGACCATCATTGAGAACTATTAATGACTCCAGTGTGACGTGTTAAATCAGTCTATTCATTGTAAAAACATGACAGTGTTGACTTTATAACTAAATCTGATGATCTACATTAAACTTTTTTTTCTCCAGATGCACAGTGTCTCTTCACCTCACACGACAACTTTTTCAAGCTTGCAGCCAATGACAATTGTCCCCTCTGCATCAAGAGTGTTCAGGCCACTGAGAAACATTTGATGAAGAGGCATTATCGATTCGCTGTTCATTTTAATGAGGGGGGCACAGGTACGTTCTCTTAGCATCACATCAAAACACAGAACTTTGAAGCACACAATCATGGATTTAAATTCTATACCATAATTTGTTTTAGCCACTGTTATGTGCAGTGTCACTGTTGGCATTTTTTAAACACTATTTGAATGTGAGGGTGGTGTGTTATCGTATCCTTTTGGATGCTGTTGCTGGCTTCTCAAAAATAGAAAGGACCATACTGGTATTTTTTTACATCCATTTATTAAAAAAACATGTATGATTACAATCCGTTCCAAAACAAATCATAGCTTTTTAGATTGAAAAAAATTCTGGGTCACTGTTTCCAGTTAATGTCACTGAAGTCTTTCAGGTTGATTGTTTATCCTCTTTATTTGATTCACTGAAAAAATCTCATTAATACATTCAATTTCACAAAGCCACACTACCCTGGAAATCTCAAAACCAACAACTGAAAACTTGGAGGCAATGTAATGTGCATTATAATGAAATACCACATGTGATCAATTTTCAAGTATACTGTCTGATTTTCATTGCATGGAAATGTTCTAAAACAATGTTCTTGAAAGGCATGCAGCCCTGTAAGGTGTATACTCGTGGTTAGCAGGCTATCTTCTCTCTTTTCAGAAAAATTTGTGGTGCCATGTTTTTGCACCGATAATGGCCAAGGAAGAAGTCACTGGCACTGCCCATTTTGCGTAAAGATCATTCATCGGAAATGTAACTTTGAGGTGCACTTATCAAAACAACATGGTATGTGCAATTTCTCATTGTCATCCTTATAGTACCTTTTTTCCAGCCACCACTAATAACATTGTGATAGTTTTATTACCACCGCCTAATTGTATGACCTCTGTTTCTTTTTACATTACAGGTGATGCAATACTACTGCAGAGCCAAGATGCAGGTAAGTTCACAATATGTCTAATACCCTTCAGTTGATACCACAGTTTTTTGATATGTGCTTTCTAGCAGGAAAGTAGGGTAATATGAGTTCCTCTTCATATAGTCATTATAGTGTGAGGTATACTAGGCTTGCCTCGCCTCCTGCTTTAAACAGAAACACATCCATCATCTCCAGGTTCACCTTGCTGATCATCGCTGTAGTTAGTATGTACAGCACTTTTAAAAGTTTGTGATTTAAATGACTGCATATTATTTTCTCCGATCCTCAGTGAGTCATCAGGACTGTAAGCATCCGGAGCTGATACAAAAAGGCGACAGTCAAATGGGAGGACAAAGTCTGGAGGCAGACAGTGACCAAGATTCACCCGTCAGCATCATTTATGTGAACAGTTTTATCCAAGATTTGAGTGAAATCAACTGTGTGCAAAGCACGAAGGGGCCTCCTCGACCCCTGGACACTCAGCCTGACGGTTGGTTTGGTAAAACATGGCAGCCTGATGGAGACTGTCAGAACACCAATGGAGGTGGTGCTGTCACTGAGAATAACAGCAGCCACAATACTGAAGAGTCGCAGAGCCACACAGTTTGTTCGAATTTAAAGGCACTTGGTTCAAAGAAGAAGAAGAATGTGAAAAGGACTTTGCCCCTCTCAAGTTTAATTAAAAAGGAATCATCAGGAGGATCTACCTTTCAGAATCTCACAGGTCGTCATTCTTGTAAAGCTCATGCGAAGCACACATTGAAGAAACATGTGCAAACACACAAAGTGGACAAAAGCCACATTTGTGAAGTCTGTGGAAAACGATTATTGTCTAAAGTAAGTTTAGTCCATCACCGTCAAAGCCACCCAAAGAGAAACCAATGCGGAATATGCAAAAAAGTGTTTTCTAATAATTCCAATCTGCAACGGCATTGGAGATTGCACAGACCAAAGGGTCTAAATGATATGTCATCAGCTTAAAAAACACAGATGGGCAAAATCCTTCAGATGTCATAATGCATCAAAACTGCTGTCTTAGTGGAATTTGATCATCTACAGATAAGACAGTTATAGTGTTCAGCAGTGTGTAAATATTTTTGTATTGTTTTTTATATTGAATTTGGAGAGTTGTGTGTTTTTCTTTCATAATTCAGCAGTTTGGAAGTGATAGTTTTCGATGGATACTACAAAAAATTTATTTCACCAGGACCTAATTAAACGTAGTCTAGATTCAAGAAATTATGTATCTTTTTGTAGTTTATGTTAAATAATTATAATATTCATTTGGAAAAAGTTGTTGCCTCCATGCTATGTAATCGTCAGATCTTGGTGTTCCTGCACAGTTTTAACTGGACTCATTGACATGGACCCTCTGTCGTTGTATATTTAAGGCTGAACATGTATCTGTTGCACTGGGGATTGACAGATATCTAAACTCTACAAATGACACAAAAAAGTTACTGATGTATGAAATTCAAATGTGTGATTTTCTGATCTATGGTCTCTAATAAATGAGATGTGAATCTGAAAAAATAAGATCTGAGTATGAAAACGGAAAAAACAAGACCTCCAATATCAAAATATTTGCAAGATTACATTTAAATTGAAATTAAAAAAATAAATACTTATTTTCTTGTACCCCAGCATGTAAGTCACTTGTTTATTTGTTTTTTTCCCATGCTTAGTTTTTTAGGGTAGCTTTTCTCACCCTAGTTTAGGGTTGTTTGCTTTAGGATGTCACACCTTTTGCAGATTGTTATGGCCCTATGAAGCAAACTGATTTGTGAATATGAGCTGTACAAATCAATAGATGCTATTGTTTTTATTTGGTAAAAAGTCCCTCGTATTTTAAGTTCAAAGTAATATAATTTGGCTCTGATGTAACTCAATAGAAGATCCTTTAAAGGGATAATTCACCGAAAATTTAAATTCACTATCTACTCACCTCTATGCTGATGGAGGGGTGGGTGAAGTTTTTGATTCCACAAAACACTTAAGGAGTCTCGGGGGCGTAAACAGCCCTGCAGCCAACTCCAATACAACTGAAGTAAGCCCTTCAAGGAGACCTACACTGTGTCACGAGGATGAAATTATCATTAAATGATTATAAAGTGTCTTCTTAGGTTCCCAGCACAGGTCCAGTGGTTGTGTGTGGAAGAGATATTGTGGCAGTAGAATGGACTGTGAGTCCATCAGGTGTGAGCAGAGTTAGCTGGGGGTCATGGTGATGATCAGTCCATCAACTTGTCCCATGATGTGGTGCACAAGGTCCGGCGCAGGAAGGAAGGAAGAGAGGGGGGGGGAGCAGCAGCAGCACCCTCCGGAGCGTGTGTCCTCACCCAGCCTCCCTCCCTCCCTCCCTCCCCGTTAGTTAGTTGGTTAGGTACAGTGACTCCAGGGCGAGTTACTCGCCGCCTCCTCCTGTCTCCACACGGGGAACATGGCTGTGTTGAAGATACAAGAGCAGGTAACCTCGTCTTTCTCTCTAACCAGCTAACATTCTCCGTCAGGTTCACCTCTCTGCTGTCACACGACCGACGCTAGTTCGCTAGTTTACCCGTAACTAGTCAAAAGACTAGTTGAGTGATAGCTTCACTTTGCCGACATTAAAAAAAAAAAGTTTATATGGTGGTTTAAACCAGTTGGGTAACTTGGTTAAAATAAAAATGAAGTTTCCAGTGGCTAAGCTAATGTTTGCTATCTGACATTTGACATGTTAGCTAAGAAGCTAGCGTTAACCCCCCCCCCCCCCCCCCGGTAAACAGAAAACCAGTTAACGCAAAAACCGCCCGGTCCGCCGGTGGCTCACCGTAACGCTGTTGCGTTAAAGCGGCTACCTGGTGTCAGAGCAGCAGCGACGGTGTGTTGTTGGTTGTTTCTGGGGTTTTATTCTCATGTGTGTGTGGATGATACTTTGTGTTCCTGGTGGTGATGGACTGCTGAGCACAGCTGGATGGTAGCTAGCAGGGAGGCTAGCTCCTTCGCCTGTGTAGTCAGGGAACTTGAGCTCTTGTAACACAAGTATGGTTCCACTCCTTTCTTAGGTCATTTACGTGAAGTTAGGGAAGCTATCGTTTTGGATTGGGTGTTGTCGTGTTAGCTGTCGGAGGACCGGGCGGTGGTTTTCTCCGGGGTGTGCTGTGTCAGCTGTGTGTCCCGGGCTCCCTGGACGGTCTGGCCGGGGCAGCTGTGCACGGTCACCTGTTGCGGGAGACAAGAAAAGGCTGTCGGACTAAAATAGCAGGTGGGGCTGACTGTCAAGACACCGTCCACATTAAAAAGACTCCGAGCAGCTCCTCTGAACTCTGATCGACAGGCACATTAGACTCATCGGTAAAAACAGTATCTTAAGAAAGCAGTTCGCGTCACACTGAGTTTGTGATTTGTCAGAGAGAATCCTAGGGTAATTTACTTTACAATATAATACGCAATGCATGGCCCACGGTAATATTACAGCGATTCTGCGATAATCTATATTATAACGCAATCATAAAATGAGGCATTGTGATATCTGTTTAACTGAATAATACAAAATGCCCCTAAACAGGTAAAGTGCAGCATCTCAATAATCATGGCATAAATCAATAATCCTAATCGTCAATAATTGTCTCATGAGTTCTGACCCCGTTCAGATGACATTATATATTGTATTTTTATTTTGTCTCACCCCAAAATATATATTTAAACTAGAGCCTGAATGATTTTTCTGTAGGCTGATAATATAAGACAATATGAGCTATAGTTTCGTCGTTTGTTTGCATATAAAATCTTACACTGCAGAATAAACAATGCAGAAAAATATGTGCATTCATGTTTACACTTTTGATAGACATTGATTCAAGTTAAATGTATTTGTATTTTCTTTATATTTATTATTTACTGTTAAAACTGGAAAACACCAAGCTTTATTACATTTCTTTGTTGTAAGCCAGCTTTGCATTGCCAAGTCTTTTTGAATTCATGAAGAGACTCTTCAGTTCAGGCTGTCAACTAAAGCTGCACCGCTGCATGTGACATGGCTCACTCTCCATAATCCTCTATTACACCACACCCTCTGGATTTGGCGGTCTATTGAAGCTGCAAAGATTTTTCTATTTCTCCCTTTTCTTGTCAATGCCTCTGCTGCCCTGCATCCGTCTATATGTCTGTCAGTTCAGCTCTTCCACCACCCCAGCATACCTGTAGGTCCTGACAGGGGGGTTAAAGATACAGTATGTGCTCATCACGCCCCTTTTTTATTTATGTAATCATATCTGGAGAAGTGATAAAGTTGGAGCCTGGGTGCCAAGCTCTATTTTCTGCTACAGCAAAATAAACACTTCAGTCTGACTGAAATACATTTTGGCTGATATATCTGTAACCCATTACACCTCATGAATACATCTCAGTCAAGCTTTATTTTTGAATATCATATTTTGCTTCTTTTCACATGGTTGTAAATGTATTACAATTTTTGTGACTGTTCATGAGAAAAGATGGTAATATAATGATAGTTTGAGGTTTGGTAAGACATTTGGCATTATATATTACACTTTACATATTAAGTGATTTATCTGTAATTAACTACAATAATAACTACAATGGCAGTAAATGTGGCTGCTGCAGCTGTTTATGCATTGTTTCAGAATAGGCATAAATGGTTTTAATAAAAATCTATTTTTTAGCTTTCTGGAGTTTGTTAAAACTTAGGTCAAAGTGGGTTCATGATTACGCCGCACTGTCGCCTGTCCAGGACTGTCCACTCTTCTGTACAGTTAACAGACGGAAGAGTGTTAGTGATACGACCCCTCCCCTCCATTGTTCTCTGTAGTGCTCGCTGACAGAGAATTGGACAAAAGGAAAGAAGTACTCGACCAGACAGGGCAAGAATGGAGACAGGAGTGTGTGCCATTTTCAGCCAGGGCTTATGTTTGTCCTCTAGAGGGTGCTGTGTTTCTTAGAAGGGAACCGGAGTGTCCTAACCAGGCTACAGTCCTGCCTGAGGAGAGGGGGGGGGGGAGATACGCATTTAAAAGAACACACATAATGAAAACAGAACGTCAAGCTTACAATAGAGAGTGTGTTGTAGTTTTGTGTGGGTTAAGTTGCTCAGGGCTTTTCAGTTGTGCCCAGGGTGCATACATCAGCTGTTAATGGACAGTGTCCAAAGAGCCCCCCTGTTTGTGTTCTTGAATTGTGTACAGTAAAAACACGGAGCACATGCTATAGGTTGCCAGTTGTGGATTTACTTGTATACTCAATGGGCAAGTATGCCATTAGGATATATTCTCTCCAGCGAACACTTCTTGGTCATCAGACTTTACAAAGTGGATTCAAAATGTCAAATAAAGATCAGAACAAATCCCAAACAGCAGCCAAATAATTTGAACAAAATAAAACACATAGCCTGCATTGTTTGGATATGGCTATTACCCTGAGGGATAATCTACATTGTCACAGTCTGACATTTAATATCACATGTACTTAGATCACTTCAGAACCATGTGATATTAATGACTCATCAGCCTCAGTTTACTTAGCACATTTAATGGATAATGTGTTGTTTTGGTCAGACTTTGCATACCAAACATGCTAAACGATGAGAGTAAAACTGTATAACAGATCACTATCTCTTGGTCTTTAAATGTTTTGAATTCTCTGGATGTCGGCGTCTTCATTGCTGCTGTCCCTGGCACATGCACAGACCTGCACGTGCTGGTCTTTGTGTATCTGCACTGGGATTACATTACACACAGTGCATCCTGTCACAGGGTCAAAGCAGAGGTCAGTTTTGTACCTGCGTACTTTGGCTAATACATGCACTCTCACTGTCACGTTAAGGCTCTCTCCCATGAAGTGAAGCTCTAAGGCAGTGCTGTGCTTCTGTTTGTGGGTATTTGTGATGATATTGTGCCTGCATTCTCTTGTTGTTGTGGTCAGATTGGGTTCATCTTTTGTGTTTTTGCTGGGGTCACATTGCTATGCGAGCACCAGCTCTGGATTAATGAAGCAGGCATTTGACCTGTGCCTGTCTCACGAAAACACGTCCAACTCATTAAAGATTCATTTTTGCAGTTTTTGTTGTCAGTTCTATGCCCATCCTTGTTAGCTCTTGGCTTTGGTTTTGTGTCCATATTACATCTATAAAACTATATTACAGTGGCAACAAATCAGCTTTGTAAACATCTTTCGGCTGTGCTGTTCAGAATACCCCCAGTGCTAGCAAGTGGGATAGACAAAACTCTGGATGTTTATGTACTTTGCATCCCAAACATAATTTTTTATTTGTGCCTTTGATTTGATTCAAATCTCTAGCTGTGTCTCAATTGCTGCAGGAGGAGAAAGATTATAGCTGTGTTTCACATCAAGTTTATAAATGTTAAGTCCATTAGACTCAAAACTTAGGTCTGCTGGAAAACTCCATCCAAATTTTGCTCTCTCATTCGTCCTCCCTCACTCTGACTCTGTCCCTCCCTCTGAGTTAATAGGCTTGTGCGGCTTGGCAAGATTGCTCTTTTTAGGATCTGTGTTGAATATGAAGGAGACTGAGACACACACACACAGAGTCATGCACGTACAAACTGGTCTTGTTAGCTACCCTCGCATTCTCTGGCAAAGCCAGTTTGTTCCAGTTTCATAATGAGGAGATGGGAACTTTTGAAGC